GTTTTACTTGTATATCTGAACAGGTTTTTAGCCATTTCGTGTTTGGCTTTCCTACTAATTGGGAAAATTTATTGGGAAAAGAGTTTACGGCTGGAACTGGTTCAGCAACATGCTCTGATGTTAACAAATCGGCAACAGTTTTGGAATGTATGCGTGTATTTTATGAAGTGCAATTTTATTCAAATCATGTTTGGGTTCTCGAATGTGGATTTTTCTTTTCCATGCCTCATAATTCTTGAAATTCAGTTATTTACGCTACATTTTTCTGATTTTACCTTCCTCTTCGTGTGTTGCAAAGTTGCAGCTGTTGCAGGTTTGGCAAATTCTGGGTTGAACACAACCCCAAGTAAATACAAGGAAAATGACAAAAAAAAGCATAATCTTGAAAATATACATGATTGTTCTGAAAATGTGTCTGGGAGGATTACTACCAATGGCTCAAAAGGTCTTTACTCAACCAACCTTACCACTGAGCATAATAACATGGATAATGCAAAGAATTATACCTCAGATAACCTTCCACCGTTGGTTTTTTGTTTTGTAAACACTGTTAGTTCACTTGAGTATGATTTAGCAGTGCCAGGAGCACCTTCAAGCCATCATGTGACAGAATCTTCTGAGAGGGTGGCGAATTCAGAAAGCAATAGGAAATGTAACAAAGGAACAGTTAGGGATTCAAGGACTGAAGAGCCGTCACATTTAGAATCTATTACCGTTATGAATTATGCACTGGGAAAATCTCCAGTACCTAACGATTCTGACAATCTTAATTTGTCCCACTTGGACCCAGCTCTGTCCAGAGGAAATTCAGGTGTGGAGTGGATGACGATCTCTAGTAACCCAAAGACTTCAGAAATGCAGAAAGAAAGAGATAAAAATAAGGATGGGTTGAATTATGGAAAAAAAGATGGCTTTACAGCTTGCTTGCCCCAAGACACTGAGGCTATTTTTAGATGTGCTGGTGAAAAATCAAGTGGAGTTGAATGTTTAAATTTTGCGAGTTCTGGTCTTGAAGCTATGCATAAAGACTTTTTGTCTACATCTCCTATTGATGGGCACCCAAATGTTCCAGAAGTTTTGGGTAATTATATTAATGATACCACAAATTTTCCTGTTGTGCATTCAGCTATGAATGTGAATAGCACTCCATTGCGGGTGGATACAAATGCTATAAAATTAACTCCAAGTAATTCTGGAGGTGGAAAGGGTATAAGTAGTTTGAGAAATCTGAAAAGCAATCAGAAAGAGCACTCTGGGGTTAATTGTTCTGATAAGCATAAAAGCAAAGAGTTGATGTCTGAGTACTCTGAACTTTCAGAAGGAGAAAATTTGAAGAGGTGTTCATCACAGGGAACCAATCACTCTGGAAGGAAAACAGATACACTTGAGGCAATTCGAAGCCAATCTTTAAGCAGAATGATTAGAAATTTGCTTGAAAATTCAAAAGGCAAAGTGAAGGAAAGAAAAACAGTTGTCAATGGGTTGAAAGCTAGAAGAAATGAGATGAATTCAGTCTCAGTGATCTCAGACCGGAAGAGCAACACTGTTCAAAATGATATTTCAGAACGCATGAATGTATTCAATCTGACTGATGATGGGCATGAAGAACCAACTTATGATACTTTGGTAAAAGATAACTCAAAGAAAAGACAAGACCGTAGAAAAATATCCCAAACTGGGACACCAAGGAAGAACTTGAATAACTTCACCCAGCGCCCCAGTGGGCCAGGTGAGGGAAATTGTCAAAATGACTTACAAACTGCAGTTGGTGAGAAGGAAAGAAGGGCTAAACAACTTGGCTCATCTGGGAAGAAAGCCACCCAGCGCCCCAGTGGGTCAGGTGAGGGAAATTGTCAAAGTGACTTTCAAACTGCAGTTGTTGAGAAAGAAAGAAGTGCTAAACAACTTGGCTCATTTGGGAAGAAAGCTCAGAGGAAAATTAATTTTGATGCACATGTAAGTTATTGATCAAGGGTCAGAAACACATACTACTGTCAATTCCCTTTTAATATTTACCATGAGCATTTAAACGAATGACATGCCCTTTTTTTCTCTTTTTTCAATTGAAAAAGGCCAGCATGGTAATTGACTGTGAGCTTTGGAAATAATAATTGTTTGTTTTAAAGATTTGGCCTGATGCTATTTCTTTCAGTGAAGGGCTGTATATTGACTTATGATTAATTTCATTCGAAATACTGTTATTGTTAATATTCACTTTACAATGTTGTCAAGGGCAAATAGTGGACACCAGGGCAGTGTTAGCATGTGAATTCTAATAACATTAATCAAAAGTAACAAAGAATGTGCCATTATCTAACCATATTGAAAACTTTTGGTGTATATATTTTCATTTGGATTTGATTTGCTCTGGTATATGACTAAATTGATCATCATCTGTATGTCACTAGACTCATTTGATGGTTCATGTCATCTATTTTTTATATTCCTGGGATCATATTAGTGTATCTTGTGTATATTACATGTTTGTTGACTCTCATTTTTTTCCTTTTCCCCTTTTAATTGAAAAATATTCTATCTATATAGGCAAGTCCTCTTACTCAGGAAAGAAAAGAGAAAATATCTATTATTTCACCAGAATCTTTGAGTCTCAAACGATCCAGATCAGGTACGTTTTCTTTTTTAACTTCTGGTTAATTCTTGGTTTTTTTTCAGTGTTCTACTCTTTATTCAGCTAACAGCTGATACATCCAATATGTTACGAAAATGTATTGGCAAGAACAAAAATCTTAAAGAGTAAACTATGGGACATTTTCCATAGGTGTCTAAGTTTACTAATCTGAATACTTTCTTCGATATTACATCTCTTATTATTGTTTTTGACGCAAAACTTCTTTACTTATTCTTTTATTAGAATGCTGATTTTTCCCAATATTTAGAGGAAAACAATAATGTGGGGATCTTTTTTTTGGGATATCTGATCAATCCCATTTTTTAATTGTTAACTGTTTTGCAAATTTGCAGGAAGACTACTTCTACCTTCCCTACATTTTTGGCGCAATCAAGTTGCAGTTTATGATGCGGTTTGTGATTTTTTCTGGCATTTTAATGTTGCCAGTCTTAAACTTTAATTGCTGTATGGTTCTGATATTCTTACCTTCCTAGAAAGATTTTCATCTTTAAAAATTTCAACATTTTAAGGAGACTTCAAAAGTAATGCATTTACAGGGATGGTGTATTCTTCAGTTTCCAACATTCTTTAACTTGTTAAAAGACTTGTGAAGAGTTATGGCTTCAGTTTGTGGAAGAAAAAATCATGACTATGCTTTTTAAAATCGAGTGATCATGAGACTGATATAAACGAAAATGAGAAAATCTATGTAGAAGTATTGTACAGATGCATTTCCATCATCGCAAAACAACATTCACCAGAAATATACTCGCACATTCATGCATCTAAAATCATACTCTCATGTGTAGTGTCTAGTAAACTTGGATGGAGGTTGTTGACATTCTTGCCTTCAGAACACTCTTGATTACAAAATGAAGCCCTTAACCTTCTATATTGGATGATGCAACTCTCTAATGAGTCTTGTCTTTCTTAATGTCGGTGTGTACTTGCAACTCAATTCCTTACTCCTGTCTTTACTTAACAGCTTTGTGAAGACTAGGAAACTAACATTACATAGGCACAGTTATCTCATAAAAATTAAAATTTACTTCTAATTATGTTCGTATGCATATCCTTTCTATAGTTATCCATTTAGATGTGAGCATTTGACTTGCTTAATGCTTTCTGATCTAATTCGTTTTCCTGACTACGTTGGTAATCCCTCGTTATATTATTCTGTTTTGTTTTGTGAGAATATGAATATATGAAAATTTTCTGTTTTCAGGATCGTAAAATCACTGGAATTCAAGAAGCTGTAGATGATGTCAAACCATACAAAGGTTTGTCTTACTCTACCCTTTTTAATTGCTTCAGTTAGATACTTAGATAGTTATCTTGAATCATATAATGCAATTGTTAACGGTATGGTGAGTGCTATCTACACCTATTGGTTGCATCTTGAGATTGAATCCCCTCACACTAGGGTGGGTAGAAATTTAGTTTAAATTTGTAATTTTTCTTTTTAAAAAGAAAGTTATTTGAGTGGCTTATTGTCTCTAGGGAGTAAATCTGAGCCTCGGGTCAAACGGAGGCAGTGAACAAACGGAGTCTCAATGGGAGCTTTCACCAGACTTTTAAAACTACAGAAAGCTGAATATAGGGCTTACTTTAGATGGGCAACGACAACATAAACAAACACCTGCTTTGATGTATAGTATTTTTGAAATTTGGATTTTTGTTTGAAGTTGTAATTATTAAAGCAGATTAGGAAATACAGTTGTTAGTTTAATCTTTCACCTAGTTTACTATTAGAGTGTTTTCGGTTTAGAGAATGTTGTATTAGTGAGAATGTTATATTAATAAAAAAAATATTATATTAATGAAAAGATATATTACCTTGAAAATTATTGAGAATGTTTAGAGAAAAGCGTTTGGTTAGATTGAAATAAATTGGTGAATATGTTATATAGATTACTAAATTGCTTCTCTTTTTAATATTAATATAATTTTATTTTTTTAATCATTTCTTTTAACTCTCACATTTGAGATTTTGTTAAAATACTCAAGTCATATAAAAGTTTAATTTCTAACAAAATCATCCCCACCTATCCCAAGCCATTGTCGACCGCCATCGACAGTTGCCACACGATTGATTGGATCTAGCCGACTGTACGACGATATAATCATTTCTGGCTAGATCAATGACCATTAACGGCCAAATTTGTGGTTGTTGTGCGCCATGGATCTAGTTGTACAGTTAGATCTAATCGATCGTGTGCCATTCCGATGACCTTCGGTTGTGGTCGTCGATGGTTGGTCAACGATCGATGGTGCTGGCTGGCGAGCGACGATAGTCTTAGGTGACTTGCAATTTGTTTTAAATTATAAAGGTATTATTATCTAAAAACTTGAATAATTAGAGGTAAAATTGTAATGATAGGTTCATATAAATTAATTTCAAAACAAGAGCATTATTGTCTAAAAATTTTAATAATTAAGGGTAATATTGTAACAAAATTAAGATTATCAAATAATCTTAAAATACCTAAGAAAATAAAGTAATCAGACTAACACCTATATAATTAATCGTAACTATTATTAGTTTTCAAAGATTATCTGAATCTTATATTGCTTGACAACCAAATATAGTAATCTAAGAGCATGTTTGGTCGAATTTATGAAAATTGACTTAGAAGCAATTAATGCTTATTTGAGTTAATAAACATTTGAAATTTAAACAGTTACATGTTTTGTTAAATTTATAAGTGACTGATAAATAATTGACACGTTTGATAAAATGTAACTTATAAATACATTTTATTATTAAAAATTTAAAATAATTAAAAATGATATTACATTATTTTATCAAATAACAAATTATATTAACTCAATTTTTCACTATAATATTATCAAAATATATTTCGATCATATTATAATTTAATTTAATTTAAAAATTAAATAAACAGATAATTTGTAGACAAATATTTTACTAAAAATTAATATGAATAATTTTTAGATTATTTATACAAAATAAACTAATGAACAAATATAATGAATTATAATTAAATTCAAAAAAATAAAATTTCAATCAAAATATCCAATTTATATCTCAAGTGAATAATATTAAATAGAGGTAATGTAGTAATATACTTGGTCAAAATAGTTTATAAACATAGTGCACGAAAGGAAAAAAAAAAAAAAAACAAAGTTTCCTAGAACTTACATTTTTTTAACTTATGAGCTTTAACTTATAAACCTAAAAAAGTTATAACCAGACATATCAACTTGATTTTAAAATTTATAAATTGGTTTGACCAACTTATAAATTGAAACAAATACCCTCTAAATAATATAAGATAATATTATCTCAGCAACGAAGAATTACCCCAGAAAGACACACCCTTAAATGATTCAAAGGTAACAAGTTCGATGAATGATGATCAAAATACAATATAATTTCAGTGAATTATAATTCTTGTTCCATGGTAGAAGGCAAACATGCTGAATAAGATCATCACAAGCTAAGTTCTACCAATTGCTACGATGCATAGCCCTCCAAATTAATCTAGAGCTGAAAGAATTATACTGCTTCATGTCAACTAAATTTTATTCCTTCACTCAAACAAATGCAGTTAAACCTATAAGTAGCAAGATCTTTTTTTCAAAATGAATGTCATTCTCGATTTAGGTCTTCGATAAACAGCACAAAATACTTTTTTTGGAAACTTAAAAGGTCAAGTTCAGTTTCCATTGTATTCCAGTGGTCCTCTACTGAGTGTAAAAGGTGTTATTTAACTAGAAGACCTGTTTCAAATGACATGAAATAGGAAGTGATGATCCACTATAGCTATTCATTCTTCAACATTGGCATAACTCCCACTTCAAAACTTCATAAGCTACGTAAATTTCAGCGATACAAACAACCCAGATTTCAGTAATACACAAACAACTCAATATTTAAAGACAGGATCAAATTGAGTCAAACTGGGGTTAAAATCTCCCAAAAATGCCGTTAAACAGATCCAACAATTTAACATAACAAGTAAAATCCACAAGCTAGTAAAGAAACTATAGCACCCAACTGGGGGAAAGAATGTCTGAGAAAAAGGATTCAATCAAATGTTCGAACCATCCCATTATTATTGAATAATATGAAATGAAAACAAACTTAGATAGAAAGTGAATACTGATGATCTCTGTCCTTCACACACACTTAATCACCTGCAAAATATCAAAGACTTCATAAAGATAATGAATAATTAATAAAATCTTTAAACATGACTGACTGAATACAGTTTACAGAACAACTTATTAACAAATTTAAGGATAAATATTTTATATTTAGTAACCGAGAATTCAATCGACAGACATAAGTTCATCAAAGATAAACACCATACACGCTTATATTTCTCTATGATCGCCAATATATAGGGCACAGCAGAGTTGAATCTTTGAGACACATATAGTTGAAAGCATCAATGAATCCCATAGGTAAACCTACTAGTTTGAATTAGTACCTACATTCCTATTCGCATACAAAAAGTCCTGTGAATGCACAGACAAATGAGCTACCAATCCATAATTTCACTGAGACACAGAAGAAAATCATAAAACCTACTATCAACATTCATTTTGAGGACAGAAAAGACAAAGTATCATCAATCTACCATGTCAAAGTATTCCAAAATACTCTATCATGGATTTTGATCCATCATCATGGACTTCTTTTCTGGTCAACATATCCTAAAGATCTGAAAAATTAGGACTCGTGTTCATAAATACTATATAGATATCATGTCATATAAGAGGCATATATACAAATGTAAGTATAAAAGTTATTTTGAAACCAACCCTAATTAATGCTAAAAAGAGAGATAAACAAATTAATTAAACAAAGAAAATAGTAGACTTGAAGCAAAATGAAAACGAATCTAAAATGGGTAACTTAGGGCAAAAAAGGAAGAAATTACCGCTTATGCCTCTGCACGAAGGGGGACTTCTTCGCATCCTCCTCTTCGAAAAAGATAATAATAATAAAAAGTAAGAAAATCGGTTTGGGATTAACGAGATTGAGAAAGCGATTAAGTGTTTAATAATAAGAGAATATAATGAAATAATTACCAGTAAGACCAAGAGAGAACTTGGTGATAATGGCTCCGGTTATGGCGAAGCCGACCAGGAAAGGCCAGTTTCTGTTCCATTCTCTTTTGAAGAATACGGGCCATGGATCGAATTTCCTCATCTTCCTGATTCTCAAATTCTATGCAAACCTACTTCAGAAACTTTTGCTTTAGCTAAGGAGACTATATCGTGTACATGGTTCTTAAACGGCGTATCGTTTGATGTATCAAAAACTGGTTCATTGCTTGATGATTTTTAAATTTTTTTTAGAATAATATTTTAAAAAAAAAAGAAAAAAAAATTTGGTCGTCTTTGAGAGAAAAGTAATTATTAATATTATATGAGATAAATAAAGTAGAATAGAATTTTGAAAATATTTGAAACAAAATGTATTTTTTGGTTTTTAGGATATAATTATTTGATGATTTTTAAAATAATATTTTGAAAAAAAAAAGTAAAATTAGGTTATCTTTATGAGAAGGGTAATCATTAATGTTCTGTGAGATGAATAAAGTAAAATAAGATTTTGAAAATATTGAAACAAATATATTTTTGGGTTTTTAGGGTATAATAGTATAATAGAATAGGGATATAATATTGAACCAAATGAAACTAGACTAATTTTTCGAATCGTGTATATCGTATATCGCATCATATTATAAGATACGTCTTTTAAAAAAAATTAATAAAATAATAATTTTTTTCTAAAAATTAAATAATATCATCTCTAAGATTAATTAACGAATTTTGTAGTATTATTGGCTTTAAATTATAGCATTATATAATCAAAATTAATCACAAAATTAAGAATCCATATGACTTCTTCTCAACCATTCATATTATTTCCAAAATCAATGTCAATATCTATATCTTCGCTTGTGTTATTCTTATCATGCAAAATGGACAACACATCTTCTTCTTCACTTTCTCCATGCAAAATAAGTAAATTTGGGCGGGTTTTAGTGAATTAGGTTGGCTGACCCGAATCCGGCCCAAAAATTTTTTGGGCATTTGATCGAAATTAATAAAGTCATATCGATATTTTTAAAGATACGGATTAATACGTATCCTATCGTGGGATATATATCAACATATCGAAAGATTTAGAATATATCATTTACTACGTATCATTGATAACCTGTATCGAATCATATCGTATGATACGTATTACATATTATAGGATACTAATAACCATGGTTGTATAAATGGTGCATACACCCACGCTTCTACTCTCCACGGGTGAGGATGTTGCTTACCCATTATGGGTCGCACTGGATCGGGTCGGTGTAATGAGAATAAGATCCAGTGTTATTTTCTCAAATTTTATTCTAATTCAGAGGATAAAACGGATTTGATAATTGATACTGCTATTAAATTAGATATATATCTTTTAGTGGCTATTTTTTTAAAACAATAATATGAAAATGAAAAAAGCAAAAAAGTAGTTTAATAGATTAGAATGGTGACTCAAATACTCGAAATGATATGACAATTTTTATCTAAGAAAAAGGCTGTAAAAGGGTATTAACATTTTTCAAAAACCTTTTATTTTTTTTCTTTATTATTATACTTAAAAAATAAGAAGACGGCCTCTATAATTTCACATGGCAAAATGAAGAGCTTTCTTTAGTACAAAAATGACAAGTCTAAACAAATTTACATCCATACATAATTTTAATTGGATGACAAATGCAGTGACATTCATATTGATAAAGAACATGAAAAGCCATCCCAAACAAAAACTCAGATCTAAAATACAGATCTTTTACTTCCATTTGTTCATTAATGGGCAAACTACACAGTATAAAACAGCATAAATCAATTTCGAAGCTATCCCATAGGCTCTGGTCATCGCGCAACAGCTAAATTGAGCCATCCCATATAAGAACTGAGCTGCATAATATTTCCGATCACGGCCTTGTGCTTTGCGTTACTGGTGAATATTCCTGTCAAAATTCAAGCTAATCTGCAATGAGCCGAAACGCCTTATTGACTCATATCAGATAACAATTTTTCAAGTGCTTCGGATGCAAGAGGAATGTATAAGCAATCCTGGCCATCAGAATGCCTTCTAGTCTTCACTAACTCATGATCTTTGAATTCGGTCAAATGGGAGTTAAGAGTAACCTGACTGCTCACTAGGAAGCGCTCCCGAGCAGTTGTGTATAGATTATCAAATGGCATGCCTGGAAGTAAAAGGTGAAGAGCTTATGATAAGTAAAACGGAAAAGATAAAACCAAATGGCAAATGGATACTTACCTTCTTCATCAGGATGAGACAGTTGATATTCAGCAAGAATTTTGAAGACACTTTGAGCATTCGGCGTCAAACTTTGTAAAACTATTGCAACTGTTTTGGCACTTTGGGCGTTACTGCCATGTGCAAGAATCAAAGGGAAGAACATCCCTTCAAATTTGTATGGTGCAAACGTAGGGACATGATACCAGCACCACTTGAACTGTGTGTGAACCATCTTCTTGTCCCACACTACCAAAAAAAAAAAAAAATCCCACCAAGGATGAAATTGTAAAGTCAAGGCATTAACATAAAATTCATAATGATGAATCCACAATGCTAAATGTACATTCCTCCTGCAGACAATAATATTGAAATAATTGTATTCACATTCTGAAGTTGAAGACTCAAGATTTGTTCTCCAACCTATAGACAGTAGAAAAACATACTAGCACCTTTCTGTGGCTCAGATTGACATGGTAGCATCAATCTAAAGCTCAAACATTGTTCAGGACTTACATAAGATACATTCTATATGTAGACCTAATTGAATGACTGAAGCCACCATGTCTATACCTTCTTTATCTAAATGAGATACATTAAAACAAACGTACCAAAAAAAAAAAAGGTAAAACCTTCCGTATCTTCGTTAAGCAGGGAGGAAAACACCAAGATAAAATGTTTCACCTTCTAAAAGAAACATCTTCAACCAGAAAAATAAAACAAACAATTTAAAATTTATAGACCACAAAAAGATGAAAGGAATAAAACTCAATATCGTCTAATTTCTGCAAAATTACCTACAGGACTTCAAAACAACATTTAATTAATGCAATGCAAACAGAATATTCAATCACAATAGCAGCTATCTAAGTGATTATAGATATGTAATTTAAAATGAGAAAAGTATACATACAAAGAGGTGCATTCACGTGATCAATGGAGGCGATTAAGCGAATATGGGTGCAGGAAGCAATTTGTGCAAGACATTGTTGAGTTTCAAAGTCTCTTAACCCAGGTCCATCAATGTTGTGAATAACAACACACACAAAACAATCATTCTCCCCCACCTTTGACCCGTCCAAAAATGCAAGAAGATCATCCATGGATCGAGAATTAAATGGTTGTTGAGCTTTAGGTAAATTCTTGGAAGCAGTCTGTCGTTTGGATTTCAATTGATCCCACAGAACTTCAGCTAAAGTTATTACAACCTACATTTTAAAAGGTTAAGATTCACAACTGAACATGACAATTGACATAAAGAAATACGTTTTCAGTTCATTTAGTATCTTCAGATATAGGGAATATCTATAGCAACAAGAACACAAATAAAGTCCAAGAAAATGATACTTGTTTGATGTTGACTGACTGAAGATAGCCATTGATTACAACCACAGAATATTCATTTAAAGCTGTTGAAGCAAAATCTTCCAGTAACACCTTCTTAGATCCAAATCCATACATAAGAAGGCCAAAGCCACACCTAGCACCATAAGAGATATGAATTAAGACTCGAAAACTCAGTCTTAAAACACCACAACTTGAAATTATTGCAACAAATTCACATTTTTCACATGGTCTATAACATGATTTCATTCTCTATCATTACCCAAAAAGGAAAAGAAAAAAAGAAAAAAAACATAAATGGCAACAACCATCCAAGTACATTTTCACACTTTGATGAACCCAATCATCTCTTGAACATCACATATCTTCAGCATTTAATGGAAACTATCCTATAATAATAACGCCCTACACTGAATTCACAATTAGTGGGCATGGGTACACACCCGATCAACATAATAACAAATATAAATCTATAACAACCACTGAGTTAAAAGAATTCATTAAAATAATCTCAGTTCAAAATCTCTCCCAAACACTACTCACGTATTCCAAAAAGTAAATCACAGTATTTTCACATCTTCTCATTTAAAATGACTTATTCTAACTGCATAAAGAGTATTCACATACCGTAGCTCGAAAACCCATTTAGAATACAAACTTTTGTAACTGTTAATCAGCAAAGCAATCTCTTTCTCATGCTTGGGTTCAATATCTAAAGCTGCTGCTCTTAGCTCCTACTTAGCAAAAAAGACATCACATGTTAATTAGAAAGCCAAAAATGTAATATATATACTGAAAGGAAACTGAGGCAAGAACCTGTTCATCAACAATGTCAATATCTGAAAGCTTATGAGTCGATTTCTTTCCTGAGGCGGCCAAGTCTTTTGCAAGAAAATAGTTTCTCGATAATACGAATTCTTCCTCTTCTACGTTATCGATTTCCATTATTTTTGAATTTAGAAAAAATCAGAGTGAATTTGATTGAGACTCTGAAATCTGACGAAAGAGGAGCTTGTCAAGAGTACGAAAACACACTGCAAGCCCTAAAATCTTTTCCCGCCAATTTCTTTTGGGCCGCCAACTAACCGACTATGGATTCATCTGGCATCGTTTCCCAATGGATTAATCTTTCTCGACATTGGGCCGAGCACCCGGCCCAAAACTAAATTAAAACCATCCCAAAACATACAAAAACTCAATGCTGCGTTTGTTTTACTCTATCTTATCCTAAAAGCACTGCCATGAAAAACCCAAATGTGGCCTTACAGCCTTACTCCTCCTGAAGTGAAGTAAGGTGGTGACCGGTGAGGCATTTGAGAACGTGGCAGGCAGGCAGGGGATCTCGTCGGCAACGATTTCTGATAATTGTCGGCTAGTTCTTTACTTTATTTTAATATATAAATTTTGATTTAAAAAAAAAAATTTTACACAAACTAAACCCAAGAGGGAGAGGGGGATTATTTTCTTGCCATTAGTGCAAAGATTTTTTTTTTTTTTTTTTTTTTTTAATAATGCAGTCCCATTCAACCCAAAATGTAGCCAAACACTTCACTAAAAATAAAAAGTTACTGTAGTGATATTGTTCACGGGCATAATGCGGTGCAGTGCTGTGTAGTACTTTGAAAGAAACACACTATAATGATTTGCCATAAAATTTTCAACAAAGTCTTAAAAAATTCTACGAATGTATTAAAAAATTGTACAAATGGTTACCAAGTAAAAAATTTGTTCAATGGAATCTATACATATCGATTAAATCCCATTTAATTTTTGGTTATGATACTTTATATACACTTCTACATGATCGCAGACTCAAGATTTTTACTAAAACGGGTCTTTGCGACTCCGCCATTGTTTGTTAATTAATTAGTGAAAACTTTTAAAAAATCATCAAACCTTAAATAAAGAGAAAAATACAATATAAAAAGTTGAAAGGAAATTACGCAATAAAACAATACTTTCTTAGTTGAATAAATCTATGAGAAACAAAATCTTGAACAAATGTGTTGAAAATCACATCCAATTCATAAAGAAACACAATAAATTTTTGACATGAAAAAACTTATTCAATGCGAAGAAAGCAAAAAACTCTGGGAATCTAAAGATCTACTTAAATCAAATATAATCAAAAGATTTTACAGCATCCACAATCCACCAAAAATATTTCACATAAATTTAGAGTTCAATCACAACTCTAACACAAATAACATACATAAAGATTTACAAAGAGATAAATTAAAATCACTAGAGAAGCGATCAAACTTCAAACTGTATAACTTCAAATTCAACCATTAAAATCAAAAGTCAACCGTCTAGTTTAAAAATTTAACAAAACGTTGTCTCATTTACTCTCAGCCAAACATACAACAAAAAAATATACTTAAATATAAAAAAATAGAATTTAGAGCAATATTACTAAACAAAAGATGTTAAAAAACAACAAAAGTTTGCCTCATTTTATCATCAATCTAACAGACTAAAAACACCGTATACATTAAGGCCTCATTTGGATTGACGGATTTTGTACAATCCATAGATTCAAAATCCATGTATTTGATAAATTCTATTGTTTGGTTTGAATATAAAATTCATGGATTGTTTATTCAAATTTTCATGCACTCGTATTTGGTTAAATGAATACAATCCACGGATTTGATAAATAATTCCCAACATTACCCTCAATATCCAAAACCAACAAATATTCAACTTTCATCTAATTAAATACAAGTTAAATTGTATTTGATAGAGAAGTTCAATTATAATAAAATGATTTTTTTGTGATTTGGTAAAAATAAATAAATTCTAAGTTAATATAATATATTGTCAACTATCTTCATTCATGATAACTTCAATAGTTGAATAATTTCATATTAAAACATATAATATAGTCATACCTATATAGAAAATTAGTGTCAATATAATGCACTAACACCATGTCCAAAAACATAAGAAACTTACTGAAATATTTGCAAGTTTCATCATCACATATTAGTGTCACAAAGCACTAAGCATTACAAAATAATCAGTAGCAAAAAAATATAATCAGTTGCTAGTCATGCATCTGGAATCAAAAGAGTCAAAACATATGTTTTCTTCGCCTTATCATCTAAGTTGAAGAAGAAATCAATTTCAAATGGACATTTGACTATCTTTTTTGCCATAGCCAATCTTTGAATTTTAGAAATGTCATCAATCTTTTTCAACTCCTCATATATCTTCATCATTCTCATAGTTGCATCTTGTTCATGTTGAAAACAATCAGCACGTTTAGAGATATGGTCGCCTACACCCTGTAAGACACTTTCTAGTTTAGACATTTGACAAGAAAAAGATTCCATGAGCATCTCACGTAACTTCCAAAATGTTTTTCTATCCATTCTTAGTAAGTTTATTGTTTGAACTTCACTTTCTCTCATAGCATATTTAATATTGCTCAACCTAACAACAACTCTCTCTTCAACTTATTCATCATTCAAGTAGTTAATGGTTCTAGGTAATCTCATATCAAACAATATAAATTTTTGAATCATAATGGTCATAAAAGCACAAAGGTTCAAAAGCATTTCACTATAGATGACAGCCATTGCAATGCCAATTCTTCTCCTATTATCTAGTAGATGAGCCATCTCAAATCCCTAATACATAAGTAAAAAATAAATAAAAAATGCAAGACATGATTGTTAAACCCAATATATATATATATATATATATAAGTCTTGCATGCTTGGTCAGTTTGACTATGTAATTAGAAAATAATTTTTTTCACCAGTGTAAAGTACATATGAATACTCATCTATACATACAAAATATAACAGCGTGTGAGGAATGAAAACAATCTCATTTTTTGTGTTTGTTTATTTTTTATTTATAGAGATACCAAACAATACAATAAATAAATCTCAAGCATGTATAATACAAGAAAGCTCATAGACGAAACAAAGTTTGTCCCCAATCTATATATTGTGGGATTCATTGCTTTGCAAAATGACCTATATATGACAAGTTTGAGGGCTATTTGCAATGACGTTGTTGATTTAATATTTCATGAAAAACAAAAAGCCACCACCAATAAGTTCTTAACATAACAAAAAGAATTATCATAAGAAATTGAAATAATGAAAAAAACTTTCTACAAATAAGTAATTGAAAATAATTAATTAAAGGAATGGAAACTCATAAATAGATTATTTCTCTAATATGCTCTGAAGATAATAATGATGTAAAACTGAAGAGCTCAAAAGAGAGAACGATAAATATATTTCTTTTAATTAGGGTAAAGGATAGTTACTGAGATATTAAATTATTAACAAGTATAGTATTGGAAAATTAAAACATTAACCAAATGCCTCATTTTATTAAAACAAATGGATTTGGCAAAATCCCACTTGCCAGGTTAGATTTTAAAACCCTAAAAAATGAAGGATTATGGAGGGTGGTGGATTTGTCGAGATCCATGAATTTCAACCTTTTTTTTTTTTTTTTTTTTTTTTTTTTCTTCTAAAACCAAGCAAGGATTTTACCAAATCCATAGATTTAACGAATCATTCATTTAGAGTCTCTCAATCAAACGAGGCCTAAATAAATAAAATAAATAAAATAATTGTATTATTCATAGCAAAATACAAACAAAGACAGTAAAAAAATAACAAAACTTAGCCTCATCTTCCGTCGACCTAACAGACTAAAACAACTTAATTAAATAAATAAAATTGTAGAATTCAGAGCAAATTACAAAAGATAAAGACAATAAAAATAAAAATAATAATAATAATGAACAAAACTTTACCTTATATTTTCATCAATGAAACACAAAACAAAAGTTAAACAAAAAATAACTAAGAATTCTGAGCACAAAAATAAAATAAAAAAACCTAACACATTACAAGGAAATAAAAAAGTAGAAAATTAACCTCATTTTCTTAAAAACCAAATAAGCAAGAAACAGTTGAAAAGAGTGAATACCTTTGAATTCAGAGGTTGAAGTTGAAGAGAAGCGCGAGCGTGAGCGTGAGTTTGTGTTCAAAGGTTATGTTTTTTCTAGACTAGTTTAGCTTTTTCCAATTTTTTTTTTTTTTTTTTTATGGTTCGCCCCTGCTTCTACAGGTATTTTAGCAAAAAGTTTTTTATATGATTAAAACTAATTAAATACACTAAGACTTAGGAATTGTTTGTTTTTTGGTCTTAAGTCTGAATACATCTAATTTTATATGATTTAGACATTTTACGTTTGTTTGTTATTTTAAATTTAATCCGATAACCAAATAAAAAAAAAAGGCCAAGTTTTGGCTTTTATCTTAATACTAGAACATCTTAACTAATAATATTCTTATTTGTCAATTATATCCCTATCAAATTTATAGAATTCTATTTTTATCAAAACCTTTGCTTTATATATTTTTATTGTTTTTTTTTTTTTTTTGTTTTTCCCATAGCCACAAAAATCAAAATCAACCATCAAATGCAATCAACTTGCTTTGAATAATTGATTAAATGTTCATATAACAACTGCAAGACCAAATTAAAAATGAACTCTTTCAAAGATCTAATTAATTTAGTTGTTTTTTATTTATTTTTTGTCATAATAAATTTTTACTTACTATATAAACACAATGTAATAACATAATTATCATTAATATTTATATATTTATTTTATTTTGATTTTTATAATTTGTAATAATATAGTTGTCGTGCATGTAAAAATTATAAGATTAACTTTATAAGGATGTATGTGCCAAAACACCAATAAAAACAAACAATCCAACGCTTATAATCAAACAAGAAAAAAAAAAAAAAAAAACATATCGATCAGACTTGTACATTCAAACATATTCAACAGTCAGGTTTGTTCAGTTTTCAAATAATAATTTAAAAAAAACACCACCTTAGTTTGAGATTGTTGTAGCTTCTTCCTTAATCACTTTTAGCTCACCTTTATGAATAATCAACTCTTTAATAAAAGTTTTAGATGTTTTGTTATATTTTTGAGTTGCTTACTTTTGAAAAATGATATGTGAAA